ACTGCCGTGGTATCTACTGAGATTTCTAGGAGTCTGTTTTTAATAAACTCATAGGAAATGTGCTGGGTTGTGTTCCTAGCTGTTTTGGCTGTGCTGTTCAGCTGGAATCTCTTGATAGACCCAGTCCAAATGCTTTTGTGACAGCTCAGGAGCAATGTTCTGGAGTTTCTGTTGGAAGTTTTGCTGCACCTGTGTAGATCCTGTAAAAATAACTAGTATGTTGGTCTTAATCTGCAGTGATTATATAAAGTATTTCTTGTTTTATCGCTTAACAATAAATTGATTCATTCTGTTGTTTGGCAGGAACAAAACTGAATATATTCTACTGTGAGTAATGTGGAACAGGTAGTCAGTAGTGACTAAATTGAAATGGAAGTTTTGATCTGATGGAAGCCTTCAGAAATCATTTTCCAGGGTTGCTGATGTTAAAGACACAGAGGTCACTTGTTTACTAACAATTTTCAAATTGTAACCTCCTGGTGAGGGAGACAAAGTTGTTTCTTCTGCCTTGAGGTAGCAATAAAACTATTTGCAATTTAATGTGTAATGTAGATTGATCGCAAGCCTGGTATGGTTCATTTCCAACAGCAACAATTCTTTGAGTCTGGATGATTTTAGTAGTGTTTAATAGAGTTTTGGTGGTTTTGCACACAGTTGTTTGATGGAAATTGGCAACTTGAGGACTCTCATACATTTTTTGGCAATAGTAACTTGCACTTAGACATTGGAGGTATATGATTTTGTGCTGGTTTGAGCTGGAGTAGAGTTAACTTTCTTCATAGAGGCTAGTATGAGGCTACCAGCAGATTCTTATCTTTGATCAATCTGAGGGCAAATAGGCTGTTTTTTCAACTTTCATCTGGAGCTGGTTTTTGTCACTTCAGGTGATGTCCATCTTTAGATTCTTTGTGTCCTGATTGAGAATTACTTTCTGAAAAAGCTCTTGTGGGACTGGACCCAGGAAGGTCAGCATTTAAGAAATGTTTCACTCCTTTTGAACTTGCTTCTGTTCCCCTTCTGATCAGGAACACTTTGCTGCTAGAAAGTAGAGGTTACTTTGAGGGGAGAGTTCAAGGCCCAGATCTGGTGGTGGAGGTAGTTTATCCTGCCAGATAGGACTTAAGTGACCTTTAGTGCTAAAGACACACACAGTCTCTTTCTTCGCATGTTGATCTTAAATTCTTCCTCTGCCGTGCTCACGTTTGAATATGTGACCTCTCAGAGGACTTTCCAAGGACCAAAGAATTTTCCTTCCTTGATTGGCTGAATTGAAGACCTGATCTGGAAATTTGAAAATAGCTTCAGAAGGGATTCTTATTATCAGGTGGCAACAGGTGCTGCAGATGTTGGTGTGTTCCAGTGGAGGACATTACAGTGGAGCTGTTTAAACTTGCTGTCTGCAATGTGAGCATCACCCATCCTTTCCCTAGCTGAATACTTACAGGGTGCTGCCACGGGTTTTTGTTAGTGAGAATTCAAACCAATCTGTTACACTGGTTTTTGTCAGTGCTTATAGGTACTGTAAATAAAAGCTCAGTCATATTGTTTGTTTTAAGCACAAGAAAAATAATGAGAAATTCATGAAAATGGCACTTAATTGTACTTGGAAAAATGTTTTCCTAGGGGGTACTATCAAAGGATGCCTTGGGCTTAGAGCTGCTGGGTTATGTTGTTCAGAAATCCTTTTGCAACCCTTTCAAGAATAAGCCTCAGAATAAAAAGAAACTAAGGAAATTAGATTTAGTAGTTTAATATAGGACCATATGTAGCTGTTCAGTGAAACTGGAGTGTAGCATATAATCTGCAGATCATCTGGCAATACAGAGTATTACATGCAGTGTGTGCCAATTCAGAGTTAAGTAGCAGTTTGTATAAGAAATAGGTGATACTTAATAATTCAAGAGATCATGAATAGCTTTAAACAAGACATGTGAGGATTAGACCTTACACTGGACATGTATGGTATCAGTATTGTGAAGGATCGGTGCTGCTCAGTGTTTGTTCTTTGTCATGTTGCTGTAGATTTAGACCATAAGAAAAGTGCTGAAGTTTTGTGGCTGTAGGTAACTTCTAATGCTGATGTTTAATTGTTTCAGTCTGTAATATGTGTATTTAAACTCTTAGCAGTCCATTAGCTGTGAAATATTGGAGGGAAAGGTAAGCAATTTGACCAGCTGTTTCCAAAAGCTCTCAGTATTGCAACATCTGTTGTGTTGCTGCTCTCTTCATGACATCAGCTATGGCCTAGGAGTGCAGGGTAATCACTGATTCTTCAGGACTTGTTACAATTGCATGACTTGGTTACTGAAAAGCAATAAAGGAAGCTAGATCTAAGCACTGTCTTGACTTATGGTATTGTAACTTTAAATCTAGACTATCTAGACTATATTTTAAAATATAGACCTAAAAGACTATGTCTGGGCTAAACCCTTGTCCAAAAGGTAGGTACATGGAGAAATGAGAGCGGGTGGGTAGGTATACTCCTGCTAATTAGCACGTTGACTTCTTGCCTTCCGAGTGGGTGTGTGCAGGACATAGGACTAAATACCTCTTGGAAAAAAAAGTAATTGTTCAGGTTATGAAAGTGCTGCTTCAGAGCAGTTTGGTTTCTTGAAGAGGTAAAACCTGTTTAGGCTTTGAGTAGATGAGAAATATGCCAGAGCTAAAATGCATGTATAAAGGGGAATACCAAAGAAAATAAACAAAAACTACTCCCCAGCTGAGCTCTGAAGTGGCAGAGCACAAACTCTGTGTAGTGCTTTTCAAGTGAGGTGGCAGCATTTAGCTTAGCCAGAAGGTTTTTAAGACTTGGGGAGTCTTGAAAGTTAAACAAGCAGCCCTTGGGTAATTTAGCATAACAACTGTGGCATTTTCTGCTTAAATTCATGTTGCCTTTTTTTTTTAAAGCAGAGATCCCACAATAAATAGTATTGAGAAATGTGACTTAACGAATGTGCACCATAGGTGCTTATAAATAGAAATATCCCTGGAACTCTCAGATAAAACCAAAGGAACAAGTACAAAATGTGCCTTTGCACATGAGAAGGGTGTGGGAAAACTGGAAGAAGTTTTCTCCTGGCCTGAACTGCTTCACCTATTTTCTCCCCATTAGTTGATAGCAGAAGTGGTTGTTACGGCGCTGGAAAAATGGACTTTGCTCTGGTCTGTCTCTTACAGACACTTAGTTCCTCTCTAGAAAGCACAAATTAGTAATGGTTAAATCACAGAGGGAAAAATCCTGCTGTTTGTATACCTGATGAGGGGGTTTTCAGAACAGTTGTGAACTTCACAAGTATTACTGTGGCTTTAAGCTGACATTGAAAAGAGTTAAATTGTTTGCTCATAGCATTTCTTCCGAAAAACTATTATAAGTAACTCCCTCTTCCTGGTTCCAGGGCATGCTGAAGAGAGGAGTGACTTGGCATAGTTTTAAGTCTGGATCCAAGCATGTTGGATAGCTTTGTCCCACAGGAGAATTAAAGTGCAGCAGATGGCAGCAATGATGCGTTAGACTTCCTATCCTCAGGAATAGTGTAGCTGTAGGCACTTTAAAGCTTCAGGGGTTGGATAAGCTGGGGAGGAGGCAGGGATGTCTTCCTCTGTTCTTACCTTACAATTTCAAAGCAGACTTGCTGACGAGGGGATGTATTCCTTAGCCAATTCAGCAGTCATCCTTTATAGTCAGAATTTGTGGAATATTAGTTGCATTAGGTGCACAACCTGTTGAAAAGTAGCACTGACTTCCATGTCCAGCTGAAAGGAACATTTGAAATAGTTTAAGGGTCTGTCCTGTTTTATACTCTTACATGTTTTCAGTATCTTTTATGTACCAGAGTGTTGCTGTAGTTGTACAGTCTGCAAGCTCTCGGAGGGATGGGGTCCAAATTTGAAATAATAGCAGTGAGCTTGAGAGAAGGACAGAGTCGTATTAGGTAATGTAAAAGCAAATAAGTACAACTTTGTTTAGACCAGAAGAAGATTGCTGGGTATCTTCAGCTTTTTTTTATGAGGCTTTTATTCTTGAAGAAACAGAATCATGTTTTTAGCAACTAATAGGACTTACAGTAATAGAAAAATGTCAGTATATAAATACATGTGTATAAAGACATTGTAATTGTCTGAAGGTCAGAAGGAAGTCTGTACATGCAACAATGAGAACTTATACTTGGGACAGACTTGTGGAAAGAATAGCATTTAGTCAAATTACCTTTTAAATGTTTTTGAGGGGTTTTTTTTCTGTAAAAGGATACAGGTTTTTTGGAGGTTAAGTGTATTTAGTCCTGCTACAGTACCATGAGATGTCTAAATGATCTTGAGGCCCCTTCCAGTGCCATAAGTCACTGAAGGATTGTGGGGGTTTTTTTATGTAGATAAAAATTTTTTTTAAAGTACAATGATGTATCTGATAAGGTACAATGTCTGCTCAGTGGAATACATGAGGTCTTATCTATCTTTAGCTTGTTTTTCCTAAAGAAACAATTGTGTAGATTTAGCTCTGGGGGAAGGAAGGAGAAGGAGAAAATGGTCCAAAATGTGTTTGATCTGCTAATCAGATTTAAGTGTGTGAAGCCAGAACACATTCAGGCTTGTGTAGAAAGTGGGAGTTAAGTACATATGAAGCTGAGCAGTTTCTGGTGCACATGGACGTTGTGAAGGATGTTATGTAAATATTTCAGTCATTTGGATGAATGAAACCCTTCATGAAATTAAACAATAGAAGTTCATAAGACTTGGTAATACTTGTAAACGGACTGTAATTCATTAGGAGAATTATTTGGCTTGAATATTACAGTGCATATGATGAAATACTGAAACATTGCTCAGCAACTGGGATTTGGACTTTGAGTGGCAATGACATATGAACCTCTGCATGGTTTTAAAGTGTGCTATTTTTGGCAGTTGGGTGTTGGCTTGTCTCCTCAGTAGCCATAGAAAGTTAGTTCAGTGTGCAGAGGAAGGTGATTTGCAATGAGAAGACCCTCTGACACTGCTGATTAAACATGGGCTGCTGCTTCAGTAAGGAATTGAGTAACAGCACGAATGAGGAGAAAACCGTCTTACTCCAAAAATCTGTGGAAGAGGAAGCACCAGAGTCAAGGATAAGTAAAACTTTATCTTCAATTATTGGAACTGTGGAAAGCCAGGATCGGCATATAGTGGGAAGGACAGCTAATGGGGCAGCTGCGGCAGTCGGCATTGAACGCGTCCGTAGCGATGACTGCGCAGGGTCAGATTCTAAATCTGGTTTTTGGAGTGGAAAAGCAAAATATCCGTCATACAAAAGCATGGGGAATACTCCCCATGAGAGCTCTAGGAGGACGTATGACAGACCTTTTAGCTTCTTTAATTCCTTTAGTCACCTCCTGAAAGTGTCTGGTTCACGTGGAAATCTGCAGAAATACGAAGAAAAGAAAGAAAAGATAATTAAAAAAAGAGCCCCTAAAAAATCTAATAGCAGTGGTCAGTACATGAACAATATAGAAAATACTAATAGTAGTACTAATAATGAAAATAGAGCTGCACAAGAGCATTGTTTGTTTGATCATATTTCTACTTCACATGTACCAGACATCCTAGGCAAAGGCTTAGAGAGTGAAATTTCCTTAAATAGAAACTGTCCGGAGGGTTGTGCAGTTACGTGTGACCGTTCAAGGCAAAATGCAACAACAGTAAATGTTGAAGACAGCAAGAGTGACAGCCTACAAAAAGTTTCAAGTTCATATAGAGAGGTGTCTCCAGCATTTTCCTATCTTGATGTAGACAGCAGTCAGAATGTGAAAGAGAGGGAGTTTTATAGTATTTGTGTTGTAGATGCTGAAGACCTGAAGGGGGATGAAGAGGTGCCAGCGACTGTGCATGAGGAGACTGAAGCAGACATAGATAACTCAGCTGTTACTGATGAAAGAATGTGCAGCATGGCACGACCTCTAGACACTGAGAAGGAATTTCCAACGCAACAATCAGCACAAGTGGAAGCTGAGTTTAATAGACAGAAAGAACTGTTTGAGTATAAAAAGGAGGGTAGGTCAAAGATGCAGAAAAAAGATACAGAGGAATATTGTAGCATAGACATCCAGTGTTCTTTTGATAACCTACTGACTGACAGATGTCAGGTACATAGGTTAAATACTGACGATACAGTGACGGGTGTCTTAAGAGCAAAAGTGCCCAATGAAATCATCCCTGAGAGTCAAGAGGAGGAGGTATGTACTGTAGGTAGTGCTGTCAGTTGGAATGAATCACTCCCTGCAGCTTGTGATTCTGTACAAGTTGTGGATGCTGCTGAAGAGGGACAATACAGCCCTAACTCAGAAAAGATGAAACACAGTAATTGTGTTTCCAGTGTGTTGTTAAACACTGGAGTATGTAATTCAGAAAAAACTGAGGGAAGTAATGATTCTGATATGGTACCACTTGGTTTAAGTAGGCATCCCTCACATGTTACAGGGCACCTAGATACTAAACAGGTGGCAGAGAACAGGAGGAGTAACTTTAAATTATCATTAGAGTTACACAAAATGGACAATGATTCTTCTTCAGTGAGTCAACACATAGACAAACTTGCTGAAAAAGTCTGCTTTCTAGAGGCAGAAAGTGAAGCAAACTCAAATATGGAAAAGAAAACACTCCAAAGAACATATGGCAATAGCCAAACACTTGCACCAGGTGCTAGTGAACATTACAGCCATTTTGAAGAATCCTTGAAAAATAGAGAGAAATGCACAGGTACAATTTTGCGTAGCTGTGAAGCTTTGTATGTGACTGAAATGCACAGAAACTTGGGGGAAACTCAAATTAAGGGCTGCACTGAAGTCAAGACATCAGCTGAGGCCGCAAAGCATAGTGGCATGGAGGAAGATGTGTGTGTGAGTGTCATTGAGATAAAAGGCAACGTGCCTGAGGAAGCTGGTACCTTGAGCAGAACTCAGTCATGGGTAAGTGATGGCACTTCGACATCTCCTGAGCTACATAACCTGAGCACAGGTGAAATGTTCCTAAAGGAAAACAGTCTAGAATCTCAGGCTTCACAAGAGTCAGCAGGGAATGATGGTAAAGTGTGCAAATACTCAAATTCAGATCACAATATCAGTGTGCCTTCTGTGTCTGTGGAATGTGAAGATATGAATAAAATGGACATGAACTGTAGACAGGATGAACAACAGAGTATATGTTCGTTCCATGTAGTGGAAAACCAGTGGAATACAGGGACTGTGTCAGCCAGGATAGCTGGGGATGTAGCAGAATCTGTAAAAGAGACAAAACTTCACCTAAATGAGTCCATTGATAACAAGGCAGACAATGTAAAACTGAATTTGGATGCTGACACTGCTGATTGTGATAAAGGCATCTTCAATTGCAGCGAAGGTTTGGCTCACAGTCAGAATGCTTACTCCACTGTAAGCAGTGACTCCACTGTACCTGCAGCCACAGACAGTTGTATGTCTGAGGGTGTAGAAATAGATGACTCTCCAAATCTGGAAGATGCCAGTAATCTGTTATATAAAGCCCATAATTGTTTACCATCATTGTGTCCAAATCCATGTTCTCATGTGCATGACAAACCAGCAGAAGAGCCTGAGTTACGTCCCTGTGCCAGTCCAGAGCCAGAGGTTGGGAACACCCAAGTTTCTGTTGGACCTTTAACTAAAGTAAGATCAGAACCTCATGAGCAAAATGTGTGTGATGTAAATGAATGTAACCTTCAGGATGGTGAAGTAGAACTGAGTGTCAGCATCTGCTCAAAGGAGAACCTCTCTGGCTTTAGTGTATCACCTGGCAATCTAGAAGCTTTTTCCAGAGGAAATTTGGAGCAGTTAGAAGCCAAGACTACTGAACTGAAAAACACCAGTTACATATTAAATACTCCAATGAATGACTTGACCACAAACTGGGAACAGATGCAGGCAGATCACAAGATTTTCTCAAACAAAGAGCTTGGAGTTTGTGTTGACCCAAGGCAGGTAGACAAATACGCTGCTACTCCTTACTGTGAAATAAACAGTGCCTCTCCTGGTGCTGCAGGATTCCAGCAAAGCAGTGAGCAGTGCGTGTCAGATCTGATGGAAGATGTGTTGAGTGACCAAGAGCATTCCTATGAACTGGACAGGCAGAATCCCTGCGTGGAAATGTGGTCACATGTCATCAGTCTTCAGACTGGCAATGCTGATTGGACAAATCAGCTGTTCTCTGACACTGTTCCTGCTAGTAATGGTGAATATCTGTTGGGTTTTCTGTGGAGTAATGCAGTTTCTAATGATACTGTGAAGAATGACAGACTATGTATAGTTAGTGAAAACTTCCAGAGCGAACCTGAAGATTCAACAGGTGCTTCATATGTAGTGGAAAGATACCCTTATCAGCTGCTAGCACCAGAAAATGCTGGTACTTGGGGATGGCAGAATAAAAAGGAATTTGTAAGTATTCTGCAGAAGTGTTTGGATGTTAAAGCTTACAGCTGAAGCTAGAAGTTTGGCTAAACAGAGTCAAACTGTGGTTTCATTAGTTAAGCAGATCGTGTTTTGTCCGGAAGCTGTTCCCTCTCCTTTGCAAAACCAAATGTTGTACAGACTGTGGAGGTTGAAGATGTTGGTGAATATTGATAGATTTTTTTTCTTTTTGGTTCTGTTTACTTTGTGTGCAAGTTTAAACATTGGGCAAAGTAACCTGATTGCAGATTCTCAATTCCAGATGAACGTGAGATAAACACTGCAGTGTGTGGAAAGGAAGCTTTCTACAGACTGTTGACAGTGCTTTTTTACCTTCATAGAGGAAGAAATGTATGTGGATTTCCTGAAGTTCCTATTTGGTAGCAATTAGGAAATCTCTTGCTTGCTTCTGGAGATGATCTTCTGAAGTGCTTTAGAAAGGAATGTCTGGAGGAGAAGTGGGGGCAATGAGCTAAACTGGATCTTGGCTAGCTGCAGTAAGAAAAAAATGAAGACATCTGGACACAGTCCTGATGAATGTGCTCTGGGGGACCCTGCTTGAGCAGGGAGGTTGGACTGGATGACCTCCAGTGGTCCCCTCCAGCCTTACCCCTCTGTGAAAGCCAACCTGCAGCAGCTGCTGCTCCTTTGCCTTCCCTGCTGAGCAGAGTCAGTGCTGGCTGTTGTTCCCCTCGCTGTGACTCTGACCTTGCCCAGCAGTTGCAGTGTGGGCAGTGGATTGTACTGGAGGCTGTTGGCTGTCTCCTCCAGGGGAATGTTTTGTATTAAAAATGGAAACTGATGGAACTTGCTGTCATCTTCGAATCCTTACTATTCAAGTAGTTATGTCAAATACTTTTCTACTTCTTGAGTCTTTTCTCTGTTGTTCCCCTCGCTGTGACTCTGACCTTGCCCAGCAGTTGCAGTGTGGGCAGTGGATTGTACTGGAGGCTGTTGGCTGTCTCCTCCAGGGGAATGTTTTGTATTAAAAATGGAAACTGATGGAACTTGCTGTCATCTTCGAATCCTTACTATTCAAGTAGTTATGTCAAATACTTTTCTACTTCTTGAGTCTTTTCTCTGCAGTAGAATTCAAGTAGTTATGTCAAATACTTTTCCACTTTTTGAGTCTTTGTCATTCAGTAGATGTGTTTGAGATTTTTTAGGTATTTTTACTTTCTGGATATATTTTCTATGCACTGTGATAATAACTGAGTGCATGTGTTATAGAAGATTTAAAGCTTCATGGAGTTTTGGAGTGCTTGTCTTAAGCACAATAATGTTCTTAGCATCCTTAAAAGTCACAAACCAAATTATTAATAAGCTTTTTTCAGTGTGTGTTATCATGAGCAATACTCTTTCCTCTATAATTATATTAAAACATCCCAAATATATTCTTGGTATGGAATAGCTTACTGCATTTTTCTCAAACATTAGCACCACAAGAGGAAACTGTTTCATGTTGCTATCAAACATGTATTGTAGATGCTTGCACTGCAGAAAGCAATCTCTCTGAAGCACAGATAGAACCATTTATATGATGGCTGTATATAACCAGATGTGGTCATTAAATATGTCCATTTCCAATCTAGGTTAAAGGAGATTGGCTTGAGATGATTTAACTGGGTCTTGTAATTCATCCTTTCTGTTTCTAATGCTCTGTTCTTCCTCTTGAAGTACTGACAGAAGTTGTCATGCACATCTTGCTGCTTTCAATTTTCCATAATGTTTCTTTGAAACTGTTACATGCTTATATAAAGTTCAGGAAAAAACCCAACCCTGTGCTTTTGTGTTTTCTGAATTTTTTAATGTTGTTTTGCAGAAACAGATAAAATAGCAATATAGTCAAACATCAAGTAAACATGTATATTGGAGGACTGCCTGAAGTGTGGGTCAAGTAGAGGTTGAGTTAGTCTGTCAAAGGCAAAGAATGAAATGTTTGTTGTTTGCTCTGCTTGGTTAGCCTTTTCTGGTGATTCTTAATCAGGGAAATGAATCCTGTGCAGCAGTTCAGTTGGTTTAGTACCTGAAATGATTATGGGAATTCAGTTAATATATTCAGGTGTGAAAACACTTGGCAGTCCAGTCTTGAGTTGTATGTCTGGTACTGTTGAATTCAGTTAATATATTCAGGTGTGAATACACTTGACAGTCCAATCTTGAGTTGTATGTCTGATACTATCGTTTGAAGCTGTACATATCTAGGCACAGATGTATGCTGTGCATCCACGAAGTGCATAATCAATTTCTCTTTGTAGGAGTCAACCAAGGTTTCCGAGTTAAACCCTAATGCCAAGGTGTGGGGCAATCATATGCTACACTTGGAAGCAGGTGGTGCCACTGATGGTAGTGTGAGCAAAACGTGGGAAGAAATACCTGACCAACCTCCAGATTCTTGTAAAGAAGGTATGAGTAAGAGTTTCTAGGTGTTGCTCAACCAAAAGGTAAAGCAAATATATAAGCAGCTTTATTTCAGATTTGGTTGTAACCACAATGTTACAGTGATTAGAAAGAATGCTTTTTGAGTGTGTTTGTCCTCTGTGCTGCAGGACTGGACGCCGATGGTGATGGCGACAAGAAGCATCAGAATGCAGTGCTGACAGAGCTGCCGGAGCCGTCGCCAGCCGTGCCGGGGTCAGAGCAGACAGATATGAACCCTCTGGCTCTCGATCCTTCTGAGTATGACTCTATGCATGAAACCACCCAGACAGGTAAGAGGGAGCTCGTATTTGATTGGACTTGGTTTAAAAAAAAGAACCAAATGCACATTTTGGGTTGAGGAGTAAGCGTCCAGAAAACCCCGAAAGCCCCCCAAATATTCCGAATGAAAATCCCTCCTGTAGATGTTTGCATTTAGATGTCTGCCTGCCTAAGCTGCATGTTTCTAGTTGGGTCAGGTGCTGAGGTGAGATTCACATACAGTTTTTGTCCCAGGTAGTAATTAATGTTAATGTGTGGAAAGATCAGTCATGTACTAGAAATGCTAAAATAAGCAACATTTTAGTCTTAACTTCTTTGCATTCTTATTTAATGAACTTTCATGGGTTTTTTGTCAGTGCAACTGTTAGTAGCTGTAGTCTATACCAGATGGCATATTTTAAGAAGCCTCTGGAAACTAGCATAGAGATTCAACCATGCTTACATTTCACTGAAAGGGACAGAAGGTCTGCAAGATGCAATGTAGGATTGCTACTTGAACTGAGATGAGGGATGGGAAGGAGAGGAAAATGTTCTGGATGTTTCCTGAGATTCATGAGAGGTCTGTTCCTTGTTCATTGTGCTAACTGATTTTATAACATGTATTTCAGATGATCAGTATAGCATTCATAATAGCTGGAAATCAAGACAACTGACATCAGACACGGTTGTGGCATTGTCCTTGCTTATGTTGGAAACTGAAAGGTCTCCTTGACCCTTCTACTTAAGGGTCCTATTGGGAATATTAGATAATAACTGGCAAATAGAAAATTTTATTATTGGTGCCTCACACTCTAGAAAGGAACAGTGTTCTTCAGCTTAGTGTTAGGCCTTGTCAGCATGCCCAGAATGTGCCCAAAATACTTAATTTTTAACGAGAGTCAGGTAGTGCTGTGAAGCAGCCGAACAGCAGGTTTGTCTGTTCCATGTGATGGACAGTGACAGAGGTGGTCCCTAGTCTGAAATCTGATTTTTAATTTTTTAGTAATTACTGTAAAAAGCGTGTGTGGTTTTGGACAAGAAAGAAGGAGGAGATGGGGAAGGGAAATAATGGTTAGAATGTGTATTTCTCAAGTGTTGCATTATCTTCAGAGTAGAACACATGAAGGACAACGTGGTGGGAGGAAATTAGAAGTTGCTTTAGGAAGAAGAAAGGTTAAGTAGAGCTGAAGAAATGGATGAGTTACTGGAGGGAAGGGTACAGAGGGCAATAGTTGGTGTGAAGTGCTTTTTAAAAACTAATTTACATTTATGTACCATGTTACTAAATGTTTTACAGGTCTCTAAAAGGCACACTAAACTTCTGATCTTCAAACACTTCTCCCACTGACACAGTTTGCCCTTTCCTGACAGCAGTATATTGGCTCTAAACTGAACATGAAATTCATGTTTTGTGTGATAATTTAGAAACTGGAATTAATTTTACCTTCTTAACCAAAAGATTGTTAATTGATTGCGCACCTGTTGTTTTTAGATTGTTTATTTGCTGGTGTTTTATAACTGTGTTTCTGAAAGTCTTCTCTGAACTAGTGTGTTAGTATTCAGAGTGAGGGCAGAAGTGTGGAGTCTCCATTTCACTGCTTGCTTGCTGCATTAGTCAGCTGTGTTGGTCAGGGTTTATTCAGCTAGAAATTGGTTAGTTTCCTGCGAATGGAAGACAGATCTATGAGCTAAATTAATTCAGTATTTGCTTTGAGATGTGCTTGTAGCTGTTCTTCTAAGAGTGCTTCAAATTATTATGTATTTGGAGAGCAGAGGTTATCAAGTGAAGTCACACAAAGATTCCTCTTTTCTGTCTTAAAGGAAAAGTGTTCCCATGCAACTTTGATTGGTGAGCTAATAAATAATGGACATCTGTTGAATTTGAAAGTTTGTTACTAGTTATATAGTTAGTAATGATGGCTTGATTAAAACACCTATTGTGTAATATAGCAGAACTGCGTTTTAATCTAAAGTATTTTCATTATTAGGTGGAAATGAACAGTTACAGCCAGAAGGTCAGGAAGATTTACGAGAATTACTGAAAAAGACACTGGAATTCTGTTTATCTAGGTATGTATATACCTAAATGTAGCAAGCTGGAGGATAACCAACAAGATCCAATACCTAAATGGGATATATGTTAATATGTTTCTCAGCTGTCACTTAAAACTGAGTGGAAAGGATGAGAATTTGGGGAAAGTCACACAAATTTCAGAGTATTGTGTTGATGTACCTGCTAAAGCTTAGATGAAATCTCTGGGCCTAAAGCATAAACTATGAAGTACATTGGTTTGAAGTGAGAGTAAGTACAAGCAGTTACAGATCAGGTGAATTCTTGATCTTTACTGGGTTTTTATGCAAATTAAAACTGAGTAACTTAAGCCATTTAGTAAGCTTTGTTTAAGCAAATTATTTTAGTTACTGAAAATGCTGAAGGAATCTGTCTTCTACTGTATGATAAGTTTTTGTTTCAAGTTTATTAGAAAAAGGTATAGCTGACATTTTCCCCATTTTTATATTTTTTTCTCCCAACAGAGAAAATCTTGCCAGTGACATGTACCTTATATCACAGATGGACAGTGATCAGTATGTGCCAATAATGACAGTAGCAAACCTTGATCATGTCAAGAAACTCAGTACTGATATGGATTTGATTGTTGAAGTGCTGAGATGTAAGTAAAAGTTCCTCAGTGGTATAAAGCATTTTAGTTATTGCCATAGGACTATTAATCTGAATTTTTAATCTCTTCCTTTTTTTAATGTATTGCAGTAAAATGCCATTATTTTTTATAAAGTATCAAATAGCCCAAGCAGCTTCCAGGTTAGACCATCATGATTATAGGACTGTCATTTTGTCAAAGCTGCTTCATATTTCAGGTATTAAATGATGTTCTGTTCAAAGAAGAATAATGTGAGTTTAAATTGTGGGACTTGGTGGGACAAGTCACATGACTGGAGGATCTCTAGGCTGTTCTGTAAAGTCAGGCAGGGAAGAAGGGATGAGGGAGTCACACTCTGTTAAGGAGAACCTTGAATGTACAGAAGCCAACTACATAATTGTGGAAGCTCTATTGAATACCTCTGGGTGAAGATCAGAGGGGTCGTCTCCGAGGGGGGATCTTAGAGTAGATACCTGCAACCAACCTCCAAACCTACACAGTAAGGCCAACAAAGCACAATTTGGGTCACCTAAACAAGTTTTGGATCAGCAGGACCTATAAGGATCTATAAGGTCCCTTCCAACCTGGTATTCTATGATTAAATTCTCAGCAAAGGCTGCTGGACATTATCACTAAGGTAAAAATCAAAAAAGAACATGGCTTGTGCACTTCAGAAGAAAAATCTAATGAATTGGAATTTTCTAGGCTGGAAAACTGTGGAGATTATAAGGAACATCTTTATTTGGTTTCATATGTTTGAAAGTGTTCAGTCATGTGCTTGTTTCTAATGTTCAAAATTATTTGAAGCTTTGCATTGTAAAAACTGTGTCCACAGCATCTTCTTTTGGTGTGCAAAGCTGTTGTAGTTGCTGACAGCTCAATACATTTTTGTCTTTTCTCTCTTAGCATTGCCTTTAGTTCAAGTGGATGAGAAGGGGGAAAAAGTTAGGCCAAATCAGAATCGCTGCATTGTGATACTTCGTGAAGTCCCTGAATCTACTCCCATTGAAGTAAGTGTTTCCTTGTTCAGCAAAGAATGCTTTTCCCTTGGGATTTGGAAGTTAGGTTTGTTCTAGGTTTCAATAAGCATATCACATTTCTTACTTCACTGCTGGTTTCTTAGGCTTAGTTTATTGTGTGTTTGGGTAATAAATGTATTTGATAGGAGTATGTTGCTCATGGGCTGACTGTAGTAGAAGCTGTTGGTGTGCAGAGGGCTGAGAAACTGACAGTGCTGTCTTTGGTAGAGATACCATCATTTTCTGGCACTCTTTTGTATCCATATGCACTCAGTGCTCAAATCCTTGGATAAGTAGCAAACAGAGATGAAGGAAGATAAGTCATAGACTAGAAAATGCTGCTGTTGTACCTGGAAGCTTGTTGAAGTAAAGTACTTAAATCTTTGCAAATGTTTCCATAATGTTGAGGTTAAAAGGTGTCAGTCAGTCACTAAGGATCTCTGCTGGCTTGTGGAGTGAGTGCAGAACTTGATTCTATGGAAGATACTCAGTGCAGCTCTGATGTAGCTGGGACTATGACTAATGGAAATAGAGAAGTTAATGGGACCATAGATTTAAACCATCTTGGATTTTCAAAAAGAAGAAGGCACAGATTCTTGATGATGGGTAGATACTTTAGTTTCCCCCTCTATTTAATTTTGCAAGGAAGAATCAAGATTCTGAAAGAGTTGCTGCTCTTGATGGTCTTCATACAAAAACCAGAAGTACTGCAGTTTAAAATCTTATAGCAAAGAAGTAAGTGGCCTTAATAAACAGGAACATGAAATGAAGTGCTAAAAGGAATCAGAGGAAAGAAGTTAGACATATGCTATGCACATAGCTTTCCAAATGAAATGCAACCTTTCAAAGACTGCCTAGTTTTTAGTATTGTATATTTTTTTTTATATTTGGATTTTTTTATTATCAGTTTGTAAGGTTTGCTATATTAGCACTGGGTAGTCGCTCTTAAATGCTTGACAACAAACTTCTGAAGAGTCTTTATTTTCAAAAGAGTTCAAGTGAAGTGTTTTATACATTGTGTTTAAATTTGCCAAACTGAAAGGATCTAAACTTAAGTGCCTGGATTTAACAGCCTAAATTTTCTGGCACAGCAGGGTCAGGCTTTATTCAAGCAGCAAAGTTCCAAATTACTGTTAGGCATGTGAAGTTGTGTTGCCTTTTGACACTGCTCACCTCAACTCTGTGACAAAAATAAAGAATATACAAAAGAATGAAAACAAATATAAAGTTCAAGATGTCTGTTTTGTGTAGAAACTAGTTGATTATGTTTGAGGTAACATAAACCCTGTTTCAAATATATTAATCAATCTGTAGACATTTGAGTTAAAGCATATCTCCAGGTTTCTGCCTGAAAGGGCAGGATTCCTCTGTCTTGTGCCATATGCACAGGTTTGTGTGGCTCCATGGTTTGGGGGCAGGGGAAAAAGGCATTTTTCTGCACTTGATGCCAAGTTTGAATGTCTGTCTAGGACCTAAATAGTTTGTCTCCCCTCATTTAAAGGGAGCAGGCAACTTCTGCTTGTAGAAGGGCCTTAGTGCTTGTTTGAATTCCTCGTAGCTAGCAGGGAGATTGGAGAGAGCTAAGACTCCTGCAAGTGTTCTGAAGTTCTCAGTTCTATTCTGTAAGCCCAAAAGTGTTTTCTGTCTTACTTGGATTTCAAAGTTCTCAGTTCTATTCTGTAAGCCCACAAGTGTTTTCTATCTTACTTGGAGTTCTGAGTTTTGCACTTTAAAGTGACACTTTCTTGTCTCCACCCTCTTTTTCCTTCCACCCTTTTCTCTACTTCCTTATCAAACTACTTTCCTTAGGAGGTTGAAGCACTTTTCAAAGGAGATAATTTGCCTAAGTTTATCAACTGTGAGTTTGCCTATAATGACAATTGGTTCATCACATTTGAATCGGAAGCCGATGCACAGCAGGTAACACTATTTTTTGAAGCATATTATAATGTAACAGTAAACAAGGACAAGATGAGGGTGAATTAACAGGTTGTAAACTGTATTACAAATGTGCAACAACTTCAAAAGAATAATACCTAAACCTCTAAAACCAGTAATGCTTCCCCTTAGGTAGTATCCAGTTTTCAATACTATTAAACATAACTCTTAATTAAGAGTTTTATCTTGTTAACATATCTTGGCTTCCTGGCCAAAGCGATGTTGGGGTTTCTTTTGTACTGAGAACTTTGTGTATCACTTGAAATGCCAAATACTTCAATTGTAAGCATTAAAGTCTTTTTTAATGCTACTGGAGCACTTCTGCAAAGATAACTTAAATCTTGCTGAATGCAGATTACATATGAGAGTTTTCCGTCGTGTGATGTTAGCAAACCCTCCAAGAGCTATTGTTAGACTTGGCCTGTCAAAATTTAAGTTTCCTTAAGTTATATTTGACCAATATAATAATTACTTTTTTTTAAAGGCCTACAGATACCTTAGAGAAGAAGTGAAAACTTTCCAAGGAAAACCAATTAAGGTAAGTAGAGCTTTATGGGATCTGGGGAGAGCATGTGGGTATGTTTTTGGTTTTGTGGCACTCCATGTGTTTTCTAATATAAATTTTTGTGGTGCAATCTCAGCAGCCATTTGACCTGGAGGTGGATTTTGAAACATAGCCCATTACTTGTTGTTTTCCTCCTTTCTGGCAGCATTGTATCCAGCCCAGAGCAGCAGGGAAGCATTCAGCTGTTTCTGCCATCCTTGAAGGAGAAACCAGTGATTGACAAGTGTCCAGTAAAAGTTTGATAGCTGCTAGTTTTGAACCATCCTGATTTAGTTTGAAAGGCTGCTGTAATAAGTAATCTAATCTTCTTTGCAGGCAAGGATAAAAGCAAAGGCAATAGCTATAAACACATTTTTGCCAAAGAATGGATATAGACCTCTGGACATGAACCTTTACACGCAGCAGCGTTACACGACATCCTTTTACATACCTCCAGTCTACAGTCCCCAGCAGCACTTCCCACTGTACAGCTTAATTGGCCCTCAGACCTGGTCAGCCACGCACAGCTACCTTGACCCTTCATTGGTAAGTCTCTCCACTGTGAAACAGTTGGATTCTTTTCTAGGTTGGGATTATTTTCTTTGGAAGTACTGAGATGAAGGAAGCATATATATCCTGAAGAGGGGAGTTTTAAGACACTGATTCTTCTTGAAAAACAGTTCTTCAGAATTCTTTCCATGGTGTAAAAGATACAATTTTCAAATAATCTATCTGGTCTCAGATTGGAGTGTGATTCTCTTCTTAACCTTTTGGGTTTTGAGGCAGTTGTTTAGTATTAACCATTACCAAAAGAAATTTAAGACAAGACTTCTTTTAGCAATGCTTAAAAGCCTCTTTAGAAATTAGATGTTAAGAATATGTATGTGAATACCAGAAAAAGCAATTCTGGTATGTACTGAATAAACTTAATGAAGTCAGATAAATAAGAATAACTTGGTATCTTGGTCTTCTAGCAGGAAATTAGGTTCTAGGTTAACATGCTGAATTGCCCTGTATGTCATGTTCTTAAAGCCAAATATTTTCTGTGCGGAAGTAACACCTGTTTTGGCAATAAAAAAACCAAAATTAGTTTTGTTAATATGATGTGAAATAGAAGGAGAGTTATTTAACTTACAGCCAGGCTTGATGTTTTTCAATCCTCTTAAATTATCAGAAATTTGAGTATGTGTAGTGTCTGTCTTCTCAAAAACCAGCGTTTTGTAAGTTTGTTACCAGGCACTGGACAAATGCTCTATTGCTGTTTGAGCCTGTCTTTTAAGTACTGTCCTGCACAGAATGACATGAAATCCAGGTTTAAAGAAAAATAATACCCAGTTTGTTTATAATGGTAAGCATGCAATATGTTTGGTTATTTTAGGTAACACCATTTCCAAATACTGGATTTATCAATGGGTTCACATCTCCAACCTTCAAGCCTGCTGCTTCTCCACTGACAACACTCAGACAATATCCTCCCAGGAACAGGCAAGTTCAACCATCTTTTAACAGTATGCATACTCCTGTATCTTCTGGCACGTGGGGTTTTCATCTGCTGATTTTAGTAACAGCAGCTAGCGTGAGAATACTTGTGACACTGAACCTGGTGCAAGGTCAAGAGAGGCCAAAGGGCAGATGGGGCTCCTGTTGTTAATGGATGTGCTGTTTCAAAATGTAAATGGACAGTCTGAAAGCTGAGAACCTCTTTGTTCTGTGATTTAGGGTATTCAGCTGCAATAGTCTGCAAGATGACATGTGATCAACGGATTATTCGTTTAGTATTTTCCGTTTCAAGTAGGTTTTAGTGAAAGCATAGTTGAAAATAGACTGTGTGAAGGCTAATTTTGATAATTCACATGACCTGTTAAAACGAATATTGATCATTCTGATAAAATATGCAACGGAGGACTGAAGGTCTTGCTTCTTCTGAATTCTGTGTACAGGCTTAGGCCTCAGAAGGTCTCTCATAGTGCGTATGTTGAAATGACTTTTGAATTTATAGGAATCCTAGCAAGTCTCATATACGACATACAATACCCAGTGCAGAAAGGGGACCTGGGCTTCTAGACAGTCCTACAATATTCAACTTTTCTGCTGATCGTTTAATCAATGGCGTCAGGAGTCCACAGACGCGGCAGCCGGGCCAAAGCCGGACACGGATGCAGAGTGCCACCACGAGCTACACCAAGAGGGAAGTAGGGACTGGGCGGATGGAACAGACCAGCGTGGACTCATCTCCTGGACTGGGTAGAGGAAGGTGAGTGTGTTCTGTAGTTGTCCTCTGAACAACCAAGTATTGCTTTGAGCAAAGAGGTATGGCATTACTGTTGTCAGTATTACCTTAACCAGAGTGGCTCTCCTCAAAGCTCACATCTTGGAAAGTACTTCAGAGGCTGTGTTACATACAGAACAAATGGCAAAGTGGACTGACTTACTTTCCTACCACACGGAATCATTAATGGCAACTGACAAACAATTTACAGCCATAAGATCTAATCCTCTGTCCTTTCTTCATCTGGTGTAAGGAAGTTGTTGTGTATTATTTGTTTGACTTTAATGAAGCTCTTCCCATTCCATTGTTCATCAGTGTAGATTGTGCACATGAACCTGTACTAGCAGTGCTCATTCTTAACTTTTTTGGTCGAAAGATGAGAGTTTGGAACAAATTGGACATATGCCACACCAAAGATGATGGTTTCGTAGAATCACAGAATGTTAAGGGGCGGACCTTAGAGATCATCTGGTCCCAACCCCCCTGCCATGGGCAGGGACACCTCCCACTAGAACAAGTTGGTCAAGGCTTTATCCAACCTGACCTTGAACACTGCCAGGGTTGGGGCATTCACTACCTCCCAGGGCAACCTGTTCCAGTGTCTCACCACCCTCACAGGAAAAAACCAAACTTCTTCCTAATATCTAATCTAAATTTCCCCTCTTGCAATTTATCCCCATTACTCCTTGTCCTATCACTACAATTGCTAACAAAAAGAGTCCCTCTCTGGCTTCCTTGCAGGCCCTTCAGATACTGGAAGGTGACTATCCCTTCTCTTCTCCAGGCTAAACAGCCCTAACCTTCTCAGCCTGTGTTGATAGGGAAGGTATTTCAGTCCTCTTAGCCTCATGGCTCTCCTCTGGACTTTTCCAGCAGTTCCATGTCCTCCTTATGTTTGGGGACACCAGAACTGTATGCAGGACTTCAGGTGGGGTCTTAAGGATTGGTAGGGAGGAAGGAAGAAACATTAGCAACTAAGGAAACTATTGTTATGTAGTTTTAAAGAACAAACAAACAAAACCCAAAAACAACTACCTGGGGAGCTGAAAATTAGTGGCACCAATACTAGTGTGATAATTTAGCAGGCTTATCTTGGGACTTTTTAAAAATATAGTAGGGTTCTAATACATGTTTTATACAAGTATTGTGCAGCTTTGATAATGGCTGTGTTTGTCTCCACGTAAATCACATTTTGAGTGACTTACTGAATTGTAAGAGAACTCAAGTGTTTTGCAGATGATCCTATTTTAAACTTGTATCATTGCAAAATTAAGTGGAGATTTTATGCAAGGATTGTAATACTTTTCTAAATCTAATTTGCCAAATTGTGTTATAACTAATGGATGAAAACATGATTAAGAACCTAGGAAACAAGATTGCTCAAACTATAGACTACAGAAATGTACAGGAATAGTCAGTACTTCAATTTACATTCTGATGTTTCAGTATTGAATACATTAAGAATATTGAAAGTCAAAAAACTTAGAAAATATATTGAAACCAATATATTGGAATGATTGTGAACTTTACTGCTTCAAAGGGCTTTACCTGAGGCAAGGGTGGAGAACTGCTGAAAATGCTTTGGAGAAGCTTTACCTGAGTTGAAAATAGTTAGCCATATCTGAAAAGTTACATAGGTATAAAAAAACCGTGAAAACCTAAAACATTTACTCTGGATATTGAAATGGTTTGGAAAGCCTCATGTGTAAGTGGCACTGAGATGCTTTTAACACAGGAATTATTTGTAGCCAGACTATTCCTGTGCTGACTTGTCTGTACCTTTATT